TAGGTATATTCTCTTAATTAAAGTTAAGTAAGTATCTTTGAAATATTTATTATATACAAGTTACCTCTCAACTAAATTTACCTTTTTTGCCATTATTTATCGCTTTATTAAAATTGTAAATAGGTAAATAAATAGTTGAAAATATTTGAATTCTTTATAACTGTTTTTTTTTTTTCTCGAAACGATAGATATGAATAAACTTAGAGAAATATACAATGTTCGAAAGGCCAACTAGCCAGTACAAATCATGAGTTCCTCTAGGGGAACTAAGCCATAGAAACTGAGATACGCCTACTAAAAGGTAGTAAAAATGTTGGAACCTTTAGCTACCATATCTAAGTCTACATCTAAAAGAATAACTAGCCATTGAACAGAAGAACCTAGCTAGAGGCACACAGGGAGGTGTAGTGCTCCATTCGATTTATGAGAGTCGTATTTTATTTCTTATTTATTTTTGCACTTCCCGATTTGTGTAATCTAGATTAATTCAGAAATTCGAATTAAATAGATGTCGTCGTCTATTTAGCTTTCCTAATAATATTACCTAATCGAAAATATCAATTAAGGAGATGTCCTCGTCTTCTTAATTATTTTTGTTGGTTTATTGTTCTTTTCTATTTGCTTAAGTGTGCTAATTGTTCATTGTATTATTCAAAGTGCTTAAATTCATTTTTGTGCTAATGTATAATTATTTTACTCAAGTGTTTAAATGTTGAGCCTAAATTCTATTTTTATTTTTGGCCCAAGTATTTTAGAGCCAATTTTTCCTAGGACTATTACTTGAGAATCGACACAAAAGACCAGGCCCATTAATTCTTTTTTTTTTCCCAGCCCATTTTCGGCCCAAGAACAACTCTCTCCTCGAACGAATTTCCCCCTTCTCTCGGCCATCACTCTGCCACTTTCAGAGACTCCGTCGTCGTAGCAACGACCTCCATGAAATCTGACCTTCTCCATCACGTCACCATGAAAACGGAAGCCCTAATTTTTCCCACTATTTAAACATCTCTCAACTCAGCTACCTAGCTCATTTAGCTCTCTTCGAGATTTACGCCCTGGATTTTCTATCGACAGCGACCCTCGACCTCGGATGGGGCTGCGACCTTCGCGGCGAGCCGAAGACCACCAAAGCCTCCGAAGACGAGGAGCAGTTGAGAGCAGGAGACGAGAATATGAGCTTCGAGAAGAAGTCCTGTTTCCGGCAATCATCGAGCAGATTCCAGTCACCGCCGGCGAACCCCACCTCGTTCAGCGAGCTGCATCCCGCCGGGGAGGAGTTGTAAAAGCCCAGTTAACCCGTGGTAGGATATTGTCCGCTTTGGGTATACACCAGATCATTCCCTCACGGTTTTGCCTTTGGGAGCTAGCTCACCAAAACGCGTCCCACTAGTGAAGGTATCCACAGCCACTTATAAGGCATGCTTCGTTCCCCTTCACAACTAATGTGGGATATCTGATCCACCCCCTTGGAGGGCCCAGCGTCCTCGCTGGCACATCGATCTGGGTACTGGCTTTGATACCACTGTAACAGCCCAGTCAACCCGTGGTAGTATATTGTCCGCTTTGGGTATACACCAGATCATTCCCTCACGGTTTTGCCTTTGGGAGATAGCTCACCAAACGCGTCCTACTAGTGAAGGTATCCACAGCCACTTAGAAGGCAAACTTCAACAGTGAAGACGGTCGATGGCCGGCCGAAGAAGCCAAGTAAATTTCGATTCGCGCTCTCTATCATTGTATCTCTATTGTTAGAATTTATAGAAATTTGAATTTCCGATTTTAAATTCTGAGTTATTTTTTGTTTTTGGTTTTCGAGATTGATTTTTATTCGAATTTGGCTTTCGAGATTGAATTTGGTTTTCGAGATTGATTATTATGGTTACTGGTTGATTTTAAGGTGACTAACGGTTTTTACAATAGGGATTTTCAAATGGGGGAAGTTTATGGTGATAATTGTTTTGGCCTGAAGCCCTTTTGTTTTGTTAAGCTAGGGATTTGGAAGGTTCAAGCTTGGATTTGCAGATATCTGGGTTTATGTTTATGGATGGTATAGCCCTTGGTCATGTCGTTGTCGTCAACCTCGAAAGCCCGACCTTGAGGCGGTACAACTTTGCATGGTCATCCTCACCGAAGGGGATCACTGACTGTTTTTGGAATCGGAGGCATCGACGAATCGAAAGGGTGAATCTACTGTTGTCCACGACGGTGTTGTTGTTGTCACTGATATTCTGAAGAAGGTGAAGCCCGCGGAGCGATTGAGCATGCCCTATGACGAAAGAGGATAAGCGTATTTCCCGATTTTGTGCATTGTTCCACAAAAGAGTATAGTAAACATATACACAGATTATACGTTAGTTATACATAATCGATAATATGTTATTTTTTAGAGTATGCAAAGTTGTTGATTGAATTTTATAAATTTCATGTAAAGTAGAAGTATGTTGTTCATCTTATGTATAACTACATTCGATTTAGATTTTAATGTCATTTCAAATTGTGTATTATGTTTTTATCCCATTTTATTGTTGTTTATATGTTGTTTATCTTATGTATATATACCATTATTATTAGAGAACTGTCAAATGTGTATTATGTTTTATCTCGTTTTAGTGTTGTTTATATGTTGTTTAACTTATGTATATATATACGGTTATTATTAGAGAATTGTCATATCCTGTTTATCTGATGTATATATAATGTATATCTGAACATATATACAGATCACAAAGAACATTTTTTTTTTTTGCTTTCCAATCCCTTAATTATAAGCTTCAGATTTGTTGTTTTTCTTTTATTTTTTTGCTTGCGGATTCTCTAGCCGTAATTAAATTAGATGCATGATTTTTAATTGAAAAAGTAGACATATGTTGTTTATCTTATGTATAACTACATTCGATTTGGATTTTGAAGTCATTTAGAATTGTGTATTATGTTTTTTATCTCGTTTTAATGTTGTTTATCTTATGTATATATACCGTTATTATTAGAGAACTGTCAAATGTGTATTATGTTTTATCCCGTTTTAGTGTTGTTTATATGTTGTTTATCTTATGTATATATATATACGATTATTATTAGAGAACTGTCATATCATGTTTATCTAATGTACATATAAATTATATCTGAACATATATACATATCTCAAAGACCTTTTTTTTTTTCTTTCCAATCCCTTAATTTTAAGCTTCAAATTTGTTGTTCTTTTCGATTTTTTTGCTTGCGGATTCTCTAACCGTAATAAATGAAAAATGCATGATTTTTAATTGGAGAGATAAACATATTTATTCCTAATTGAATTAAATGCATGCTTTTTAATTGGAGAGAGAAACAAATGGAGAGAGACAAAGTCCTTGGGCAATTCACTAGTGTTTATTGATTGGAAAGAGAAGCAAATCAAGAGGTGGCATTAAATCTCGTACTTGTGAAAACAAAACCAACATCAAATCATATTTTGATTAAACTTTTCTCAAATAGTATACATGATAATATTTGTTATATAGAATATAGGCTAAAGGACACGTATATACTTTAACCAAAAATCAATGTCCAAATTACGAGACAAAATATTTTCTCACAGAATGATGCAACCGCTAAGAAAAAATGGGAAAAAAAAATCCTGCTACAATCCTGTGAAAATTTCCGTGATCGACGCGATTGATGATATAAACTTTTTCGTGATTGTCTAGAGGTCCGCGTCGGCGGACGGCTAATAGCGGCGCCCAACAATTTGTACGGTGACGGCCGATGGCCTTCTAATGGCTGATTGAGGGTCGGCGGTTCAGTTGAGGGAGACGACGGTCCTGCTTCTGATGGACAGCACCAGTCCGATCCACATCCCATCACGGCGGCGTGAATCTGAGCCGAGGCGAGTGACGACAACTCGATGTAATAACGGCGGCTCATGAGGGATGCGACCGACTCCTGTATCGTCTTTGAATATGGTGGTGCCGACCGGCGGGCGACGGCTAGAAGACAACTGTTAAAGCTTTGCTTTTGGATGTTGACAAAAAATCTTATGTTTCTGTAACTAATTGTGAATTGATAAGATGAACCTTTTTTTATTCTTCTTTGTTCTCTCACTGCTCTTATGTTGGTTAGTTTTGGCTACAGGATTTGGGATAGTAAATTTGTGGAAATTAGGTTGATTGCCAATTAAAATTTTAATGTGAATTTATATTTAGTTTATTATAGGTTTATAAATAATTACAAGAATATATATTTTTTATTATAAATCTATCTTTTTTTTTATTAACTCTTTTCAGTTTATTTTTTTCGTAATTTTTTAGTTTATTTTTAGTTTATCTAGTTTATTACATTATCTCTATAATTTATTAAAAATTAATTGGAAACTTTTAGTTTATCTTAAGCATATTATCTACTTTTATGAACAGATATAATTTCTATTTTAAAACTATCATCTTGTTTGTTCTTATAAACTTTTTTAGTTTATTTTTTGTTTATCTTAAGTTTATCTTTAGTTTATCTTAACTATATCTTAAGTTTATTATCTATTTTTTTTTCTATTTTAAAACTATCATCTTGTTTGTTCTTCTAAACTTTTTTAGTTTATGTTTAGTTTATCTTAAGTTTATCTTTAGTTT